GAAGAAGAAAACCTAAAACACTTCCTGTGAAAGCAGGAAGATAGAATGAGACACGTGTGACAGTTTAGGGGCAGATTTTAACATGTTCAGCTTTGTATGAGGCACATGGATTAACCAGGCAGACTTTCAGCAGTGCCCCAGAAATGGGTATGGAATCTAGAATCTGTTGGGAATTCAGAGTGAAGTCCTAGACTCAGTAATTTCCTGAGCAGCATAAGGGCATTTGAGGACCATGTGAATCTCTGGGCTCTGAGCCATGTGCAAATCCAGCTTTCCATAATTCAAGTGCTTTACAATGCAGTGTATATATATAAACACTTCTTAAAGACCAGCAAGATTATTAAGACGTGTGCCTAAAACAAAATCCCTGATCCAAAATTCCCAAATGCTTTAGAGAGCTAGATCACTTCAGTTAGGATCCTTTTCCATGTTTATGTTTGTTTCATGTCATTCCCTTTTCTCCTTTGCATTCTCTTCAGCATATCCTGTGCTATGATGTTGGGAATACTACTCTCAGCAGCTATCCCAGGTGACATCTTCCATTTAGTAGCCATCCACAGTTGTGGGTCAGAAAGTTTGTGCCTGGGATGAAAGGACTCAGACTTCAATTCCCACATTGGGATTCTGTATCTAACAGCATAACCAATAGAATAAGGAACCTTTGTAATTTAACAAAAGGAAAATGTATATCTTAAGCCTATTAATGTTTTAGACCATACTGTAACATTATCCCCCAATATCTTGTTTCAGAAATGAAGGTCTAATTCCCAGCAACTACGTTACTGAGAACAAGAAAAGTAATTTAGAAACATATGAGTGAGTATTCTTGAAAATTATATTTGTGCTTTCTTTTCTAAAAATGGATTGCAGCAACACATTTTAGTGCTTGATCCTTCAATCTTTATTAGACATGAACAGGTGTTTATCAAAAGCTTTTCTTTGTTACAAGACATTACTCTTAGAATGAATTAACGATTTTGATTTGGAACTATTTGCTCAGACAGTGTAATGTGAAGTTGCAAACACTGAGCAGTTCAGTAACATTCATTTTCATAAATCATAATGTGAGAATACAGATGTTTAATATTTCTGTAGGCTCGCTACATAATGTTTCTATATTCTGATCTCTTTCTGTTGTGAACATATAATTAATTGACTAGAGGATAATTCCAGTTACTTCAACCTAATTTACTGGAGAGAAGAATAAAATTCTGCAGAATTCTAGAGAAGAGAGGCTTGATGCAGCATCCAGGACTGTAAATTTCATCATGGACTGGCATAACTATTTCCTAGGCTTTCTTTTGTTTGAGCTCATATTTAATCACAGTGAATGGGGAAAAAAGTTGTCACATTTACAATGGTCTAATAAAGTCATTCCAAATTAAGAGGTGTTTATATACAACAATAGTTCTGTCCAGGTTTTTGGACTGGGAGTAGTGCAGCTATTAAGATGGATTACTTTTGTGAAACAGAGTGAATGTTCATTTTTACTGGCTGAGATAATCTTCTTGTCGCAGGTGGTACTGCAAATACATAAACAGAAGCCAGGCAGAACTTCTTTTGCGCCAGCAGGTAACTGACCTTATACAGAGAGCTAACAATATCTAGAAAGATCTATCAGCAGAGGCATCAAGAGCATTACCACAGTCAAATCCAAATCTGCTTGATGTGCAGTAAGAAAGTACTTTAAAATAAAAAGGCTTTCTGGGTTAAGCATGTGGTGCAGATTACGCAGACTTCACAGAGTTTTAAGTTGTAGCCCCAGCAAATTCTGTGTAGATTTTCCATACTAGATAAATTGAATTACATGCAGTTTACTGTGCTTGTCTTTTGTATGAAACATTGAAGACTGAAATCCATGTAGTAAGTAAATTAGTGAGGTTAGCAGAGCTTAAAAAACCCCTTGTGTCCATTTTGCCTTCTAGTCCCTATCCGTTACCAAAGTGCCTAACTAGTCAAACTCATTAGGACTTTGCTCAAGGACTAACACAGATCTTAGACAAGACAGACCAGAGAAGAACATCTCAGTTAGAATCGTTTCACAGTATTGCAGATTTTTTAATAAATCAAAGTATTTTCACTACTTCACACTGGAAAGTATAATTCACCTAAATTATTTAAACCTATTCACCTAAATTATTTAATAATTCACCTAAATTAAATAATATAATTATTTAATTGCCTGGCACTTACTATTTTCCCTTAAATAATTTTGTTCTGCTGTGTACCTGCTATGTTCAATTCCCATTGTCCATGGCTTTATTCCCCTCCCAAATAGTAATAGGTATTCCACAGAATCTGGTAATCAGCTGCAAGTTCTATCTCAAGGGATGATTATTCAAGCTCAAAAGTGGAAAATAACTCTCCTTGGATTACTTTTCAGTCCAAAGAAGGTGGATTTGTTGTCAGAAATTCAAGCCAACAGGGACTTCTTACGCTGTCAATGTATTCACGGGCTAAAGGGTGAGTTGCTCTGAATGGTTAAAATTTAAATGAAGAGTTTCCCCAAACTTGTTAGGATAAGTGGGCAGGTTGGACATGCAGTGCACAGCCACATGGAACCACTGGGGTGCTGTTCATGCAGAGTTAATTACCCTATGTGCAGAAAAGATGACAGCGGGCAGTGGCTCTGGGAGTCAGGGTGCAAATGCCAAGACAAGATTAACTGCACTCATTGAAATCCTCAAACAATCTGCTGTGAAAGCCGTGCACCCCAACCACATAATGCAGGCAGTAAGACCTTACATTTGCATCTTCCTGCCTCTGTTTCTACATGAAGCATCATGAATACCACACCACAGTGCCACAGCCTTTGGCTGCTGCACTGAACTTCTGTTCTCCACAGGCTCTGCATACTGTAAATTCATCCCAGACTCTGCTGTCCCCAAATGTCTGGGTTTTTTCCTAAAACCACCTCACATCCTCGCTGTGCACTCTTATGTCTTTTGCCAGAGGACTGCCAAAGGACTCAGGAGGGGAGGAATAAACAAAAATATATACATATATATATGTATATGTATATATGAATATGTTTTTAACTTTTTGGGGGAAACTCGGGTAATGAGCATATTAATTTTAAAAGCTTAGATTCAAACAAGTACTGAATCAGGAGGCACACTATGGCTGTTTCTTGTGGATGCAATGATACAGGAGTAAATACTTGTGCAATAAAAATCATTGTGCAATATCTCACAAAGCTGGGAGAGAGATCATTCAAGGAGGCTTTGGGGCTTTTCCCTGAAACAATGTCCCAGCTACACACATCCATTTTAAGTCAGGAATTCTACCCCAAGTTTTCAGATTTTTCTCTGCTTTCTTTCAAAGTGAAATGTAATCAGATTTGTAATATAAATTATTTTTACTGAAAATTATAATCCTTCGTTGATTTCAGAAGTCATAGTGAAGATATTCGACATTATCAAATTAAGAGAAACCACTTGGGACAATATTATGTAGCCGAAAAATACCTCTTTTCATCTGTTCCTGAACTCATTGAGTATCATCAACACAATGCTGCAGGTAATGCATGCAAGCTGATAAGGTTTTACAACTGATGATTCAAAGCTCCTCAGGACTTTGAGAGATTGGAAATCACTCTTCCTCTGACACTTTCCTTATAAAAAGAGACACAAGTTTTTCTGTTGCTAATACAGATAAGCCACGATCCCTTCTGCCAAAGTCATAGGTGTGGTGTGCATATACCATGGGGGAAGTGAAACTACCAAACTCATCTACATGTATTAAATTAATTTTACAAAGCTAGAAGCCTAATCTATCTACCTACTCTGTATTCTCTTGGTTCATATTTGACTGAGCAGGACTTGTCCGAAATTCGATCATAATTCTTGCCTTGTCTACAACAAGCACTTACACGTATGCAAGCAGGAGTTAGGCTGTGCATCAGCAGGGATCATTCAACTGATTTTAGCAAAAAACCAACCCCACTCCACCAATAATCAAAGGCAGAATTAGGGAGCACAAGGACTGTAACACTGCTTTGCAGCCTACCAGAGTTACCACCTCTAATTGTTGGCTGGTGGCAGCCTTTTAACATTAAAAAATACCCTTTATCTTCGTTCTGCCCATTATTTTAATACAGTATAAAATGTTTTTACCCTAAATGAGTGGACATGGGAAACCACACAGAGATTCCTTGCACTACTGCAGAAGAAAGGTATGGGAATAGACAGAGCCTTTTGCTGGATGGGGGAGGATTGTAAGAAGCCCGTGAAGCAGAAAAGGACCTGAACGTAGCACTGGGAAGAACGGATGAATGCAGGGAGTCCTTGGTGAGTCCGCTGTTGGCTCATGAATTCAAAGAAAATGGTGACAGACACAGAAATATTTCTTGCAATGGGGAAATCTTGCTGGAAGAGACTACTTAGGTGGTTGATATTGTACTGTAGTACTCATTTAAGATCACTAGAATCATACAAACAAGCAAGAGTATCAGCTGTATGAAGGTATAGATATTTTTATAGTCAGAGCCCTATCGATCAGTCTTCCTCCATTTCTTCTCACTGTAGTGTTTTATCCAAACAAGCTGTAAGGAAAAGTAACCTCAAGAAATGTACATCAGATTCCAAATATTTTCGTTCGAGAAGAAGTACAATATAGTGTACTTTAAAATGGAATAATTGGTCATCAGAATATTGTTGCTTTGTCCCCTACAGGTCTTATCACTCGTCTCCGACATCCAGTTGGATCAGCTGGATGCTCTTCACCAGCAACAGCAGGATGGAATTATGGTAAATATGTTATCTTCTTTTGGTGGAGATTTAGGTATTTGCCTAGGCAAGAATTTTGATCGCATTGACCTAGCTAATAATTAAGTCATATCTGTGAAATTTCCTGGTAACAAGAAGCACATAAACAGCTGTGTAATCACCAGAAATGGACACTCACTCATTTCCTCATAAGGTGTCAGTACCAAATGAGACAACTGAAATGAGCAGTCCTGTTCAGTGACTGTTGTGCTTCTGTTACAACAATCAGTGCATTTCAGAGCTATCTGGACTTTTCTAAGCAGGCCTAAGACTCAAATACACATTTTAATAGCTTTTCAAAGACTATTTGATTTATTTAAATGCTTAGGAAATTGAAATTTATGAGGAGGATTTTCACTGTAAGCTCTGCAAGTTTTAGAAATAAGAACAAAGTCTTATATAGAATTATAATAAGCAAGCAATAAATGCCAGTTTTGTGTGTATAGCTCAGGAGTTTCATACCATCTGACTCACAGTAGGAACCTCCAAAACTGAGTACCTTTCATGTTCCCATGAATCTCAAGGCTTAATATTTCTGAAGGGTGAAACTATTGTAGTTATTACAATAGAGGCAGCCAGTAACTACCATTCAGAACTGGTTCAGTTATAAACCTCACATAGGTTAATGCCAAAAAAGTTCTTGTATGTAATCAAAGCTAAACACTTGGCTTATCTTCAAGCCTCTGACATTCCTACATTGAGCAATTTACACACTAATCACATTCTACAAGCTGTAAAGTAACATTCATATATAAACACATGTGGAAGTTTTCAGATTATTTAAAACTCATGCTAGAGCTGATGAACAATTGTTATGTTTTGTTGTGCGCCTTAACTGCAAATAGCAAGGCATGTCTCCTGGAGTGTGGTTCAGCAAAGATGGCCTGATTATTGTAACATATTGTGCTGCTTTTATAGAGGAGTGGGAATTAAACCCATCTGAACTGAAGTTCATGAAAGAACTTGGACGTGGGCAGTTCGGACTCGTTCAGCTTGGTAAATGGAAAGCAGCCATCAAGGTTGCCATCAAGACAATCAATGAAGGAGCAATGTCTGAAGATGATTTCATCGAGGAGGCCAAAGTGATGATGTGAGTACAAAAGCTATTATATCTGGCAGTTGTCATTGAGATGACCAATAATGGTGGATGTGCAGGTGTTGTGATTTAAGCCCAGCTGGCAACTAAGCCCCATGCAGCTGTTTGCTCATTCCGCTGCCCTAGTGGTAGGGGGGAGAGAACCAAAAGAGTAAAAGAGAAAACTCCTGAGTTGGGATAAAGACAGTTAAGTAGGGACAGCGAA